ATAACACCTGTACAGTGTGAAAACAAGAACTAGCCGCTCCAGCACTTAGACATAGGGCGAGTAACCCTAAGAATTTTAAATTTTAAATTTAAAATTTAGAGTAAATTTTAAAAGATTTTAAAAACATCATAACTAAAGATTTTTAGAGTGCTACTACAAGAATATCGGGTTTGACGTGTGCAACATAATCTACATACCAGACACATATCAACGATGTAGATGTTGATAATACGAAGAACGTGACATTGTGTTTTTAAATGTTAAGTTTTAGACTGGGTTCAGTGTGGCAGCAACGTTAAGAGTATACACCTGATGATGGCCGATAGAGGCCGAAACATGTAGTGTAGGAAGAGCAAGATCAAGGACATATAAATGTATATTGTTTGCACTTAGGACGGAGTCTGTATCATTTATCGTGTAGAGTGCAACAGGATGCTTAAATATAAAACTAAACCTATACCTATTTTGTCACCATTCGAGGTTAATTCAATCCCGGCAGTGATAGGCGTGTTCTTACTCAGTTATTTCAGGGAATAAAAACAGGCCTATATGAACACAGAACATAACATTCAAGCAGACTATTTTCACTAAACTACTGCTTTCCTTGTTGATTCAGATCTCATGTTATTACAACGTTTCGGAAGTGCAAGCTACGTGCATCTTCAGAGTTCGAGTGTAAAGACCCAGGAGATGAATTAACATCATCCGTGAACCACTGTGAAACCTAAAGTCAGTACTGTTTTTCTTTTTCGATTCCGCGTTAATCAGTTTCCGTTTATTAGGAATAAACGTGCGTCGGTTTAAGCCTAGAACTACCGGCCCAAAGAAACTTTCTGATAAAGGTAGGTTTCCAATTACTCCAGGGTCCAGTATAGACAGAGCTGACTGTACTAAGAGTTTGGTAAGGGGCTATCTACTTTAGTTACTTTTCATTACTTTATTTCGCGTAAAGGTTTTGCTAGAAACGTCAATGTACGCTCTAATTTATACTAGCTCACGTTCGATCTCGAGACTGTAGGCAAACAAAAAAATATAATATGTAAGATGAAGGGGATTAAAAAGTTGCCACAAGATTACGGTCATGAAGAATCTAACGAGATCAGTAGATGGCAGAAACAGACGGGTTGTGGCAAGCGACATCACTCGACATTATCATGAACTTTATACTCTGGATCTAGGCCTCGTTGGCTCCCCAGCAAAGGTAGCGCGAAGCACTTTGAATAGTTGTGATAATACATGCAAACATTGCGTTAATTACCCACAAGGCAAGGTAAATTCCCTGTGCTTAACTAATTATGTACTACGCCATGAAGACGTATAGGGGAGTAGATGTGCTGATCCATGTATTCTTGACCTCTGCAGTAGTTGGAGACGAACGGTTAGCTTCACGCCCCAACCGCTTTACGGCCGGGGAAAGAGTCCGAGGCACTCATCGCATAGGAGGCTGGGTAGGCTTCAGAACTGGAATTACCTACAAAGCTACACAAAATTTGTAACAATCACCGTAGGTGCGCAGTCAGTGACGTGTGCTATCTTCTACCGCTAGAGCACCGGGGTCGTGGGCTCGAATCCAACTCGAAGCATGAATGCACGTCTGCGTTTTGTATGTCTTATCCTTCTTAGGTAGAGGAACTGCGACGGGCTGATCCCCCACCCAAGAAGTCCTAACCAATGTGTATAAAATACGATTCTGAGGCCTAGAATACGGGAATCCCTGACTTGCACAGGTCTGTTGTGCCATTCAACAAAATATAGAATACTTAAACCCTGAAGCTGGAGGCAGCATATACTTATGAAGCATTCGAAACATCAGCCTCATAGCCCACAACATGGTATGACAACGTAAGAACAGAATTAACATCAATAATACAAGAACAATTGAATTTGTTATTGCAGGCCCCAAGTTTGTATCTAGATATAAAAGTAAAGTAAAGCTATCCCTGTAACAGACCGCGAAGGTCCATAGGGTTGTGAGACGTTGAGGGTACCACACTATCTAGACAATCGGCTCAAAGATGGCGGTAAGGTTGTCAGCTCTACGCGCTCGCTGCGCTTTACTCCCC